TCTATCATGGACAGTCAAGAGTGTCGGCGACCGATAATCGAGGCACGTTTTGTCACTTGGAGTACGAAACGTCCCTCGTTTCCCGTGTTTGGACTAAACCCTACTCCAAACACAATGCAATAAATAAGGATGGCATGACATGCACAAATGCAACTAGCATGCAATCCTAATGCAATGCAACCTAATCATGCAAACATGCAAGGATGAGATACAAACATGCTACTAGCATACACAATGCTATAAACCATATGGCATACACCATGCAACTAACAACCTAGCATACGCAATGCAAAGAAGTGAGATGGCATACACAATGCCTAAAACAACATAACATGCACAACACATTGTAACATGGCATACACAATGCACGATGGACTTATACCAAAATGGAGAGGCCTCAGCCGTGCCCAAATCAGTGGCTATATGATGGAAATGAGACGACCGAAACACATGCAAATATGCACGGATGCAAAGGACCGATCCTAAGGCATAACATGCAACTCTAACTAATCATGGCAGAGGATGAAGTATGGCATAGAATGACACATGATACAGTTCTGAAATGGCACAAAAGATGGTCCCGAAACATGCAAATATGTCACACAATACATGCTAGGGGACCCGGGTACCGAAACTAGTGAAGTGCGTTACACTAGAGGTACCCAAAACAATGCACTAATGGCAAAACCAACCCCAAAAAGACCCTAGGTAGGTCTGAAACAGTGGGAAAATGGCCTAAAATGATGGCTCGGAATGCAAAGAAATGGAGCTCATTCAATGGTCCGAAAACAAGGCATTCGTAGACAACTCTCAAGCACACTTAAGAAGTAGAAAACATGTCAATATGGCATTCATACAAGCTCTGAAATATGATGTATAATGGACCCAAAACATGAACACATCTCAGTATATGCATGGAATGAGCCTCAAAACTCAAAGTTAAGCATGGGTATTGAACTACAAGAATGCAAAACAAACATCATTCAACCATGAGACCTAAAACAGAGCTAAGGCAGTCCAAAATATGCATAACATCAGTTTAAGGCATGGCCAAAAAGTGCTAAAATCAAGGGTCAACAAAGCATGCAAAGAAAGCTAGTGAACCATGAGTTGTACTACAACTATATGAAGCATATGAGAGCTCACCGAACCAGCCAAAAACAGAAGTATTCCATGCCAAAATATGCTCAAAAACCCACTGAAACTCAGTCAATGCATGCAAGAATGATAGGCTCCTTTGGAAGGCCATGCAAGGGTTATTCTACACATGTATGATGGACATGCAAAATGGAAAAACCACCTCTGGGAAGAGGTTATGAGGGTCCTAAAACCCACCAAAAAAGGCCTGGAATGAGGCTAGGAAGCATGCAAGTGAAAGCCCCTTTGAAAGGCCTTGAATAGGATTGTTCTACACATGCATAATAGACATTCAAAATGGCCAAAAGGGCTAACTCACCAAATAAGGCCTGAAACATGACTTCAAAACATGCAAGTAAGAGGCCCTTTGGAAGGCCAACAATGCTAGCAAAGAGAACAAGGGGTGAGAGGGTCACCCCTCTATGATTTTAGAGCTCAAAGACACATGTTAGCCACTAAAAATCCACTGGATTTCAGTGTCTAAAAGGCCAAACCAAGGCCAATGCAAATGCTCAAATGCATAGCTCAAAACATGAGGAAATGAAGCATGGAATGGGATAGATGATCCCCAACAGAAAAATGACCTTAAGAAAACATGTTTATAAGCTCAAAAGAAAAAAAAAGTTCATTTTATGTCGAAACCCAAAAATACTTGCAAATAGGGCTAAGATATGAAGCAAAATAATGCAAAAAAAAAGGAAAATTGAGGCTTACCTTTGTAGAGCCGACCTTCAGCAACTTCTGGACCAAGGTAATGAGCCTTCAACCTCTGTAAATCAGTTCCAAGGTGCTTGGATGGATGGTGGAGGTGTTGTGCTAGGAGGTGTAGTGTAATGGGTGCAAGAATAATGGGGTTTGGAGCTTGAAGAAGAGAGCTATGGAGGGAAGTGGATGTATGCTCCAGGCAAAAGTGTTCAACCTTTGCAAATGGAGATGAGAGCCTCTCTTATAGAAGACAAAGGGCCAAGGCTTCTTAAAGAAGCCTCAAGTAAAGGGTGCAAGCTTCTAAAAGAAGCTAAACCAAAAGAGTCAAGCTTCTTGAGGAAGCTAGACCAAAGGGGTCAAGCTTCCCTTAGAAGCTAAGCAAAAGGGGTCAAATCTTCCTTAAGAAGACAAACAAAAGGGTCAAATCTCGGAGGATGGGGCTAATGCCTCCCAACTGGCACAGCTGTAATACACTCAAAAAGACCAAAAAGCAGAAGGCTGGCCGACCAGCCAAGGTAGTCGGCTGACCACTCCCCCTGGTCGGCCAACCAGGGGTCAAAAGGGTCAAGAAGAAAAGGTGGTCGACCATACCAGATTGGTGGCCTCTCAAATGAGTGCAACACAGTGGTGGTATGGGAGACCAGAAAATGGGGCTCAAAAGTAAGGAAAACCAGCTTTCTAGCAAGGTTCAAAAGGGTCAGGAAGAAAAACTGGTCGGCCTACCCATATTGGTGGCCTCCCAGATGAGTACAACATAATGGTGGTATGGGAAACCAGAAATTATGGTCGAAAAGTGAGGGAGACCAGTTTCCCGACAAGAAAACTGGCTGGAGGAGAAAGAAAAGTGGTCTCCAAGGAGAAAGCTGGTCTCCAAGAAGAAAAGGTGGTCTCCCACCATACTACCACCCTCCTAACAATGAAACTAGGGTCCATTCCAAAAATGAACCTTAACCGATGCAAAACAAGGGTTCGAGGGTCAAAACGCACAGCCGGGGGCCCCGAAAACTGACTGTTAAGCACCGGAAGTGGCGTGCAACTACGAAGGTGGTCTCCCGGGCCATAGTGTCCCTCTAAGGAGAGGAAACGAGGTGTGTGCCAAAAACCGGAGCAAACGGAGGTAGTTAAGCGGTTCCGAACCGAGGCACACGGCCGACGGCTCCGAAAAACCGGAAACTGGTCTCCAAATGGGAAAAATGGCCTACGACCACGAAACGTAGCCTACGGCCACTAAGAGATGGCCTACGAGGCCTCTCCCTCCCTTCGAGAAGAGAAAATGGAGAAAACAAGACCTGGTTCGCAAACCGAGGCAAAGCACATAAGAGCCCCGAAGTCTGGAGGCAAGGCTCTCAGCCGAGACTCCGCAACCTCAGAACGAGCACAATATGCAACATCACCGAGCGCTCAGTTGGTGACATCTAACTCTTAAGGTCAGTCAAAAATGGGGTGTCTACAACAGGCCAAACCATTGGGATCAATCGAGGTCATTAAGTCTGTCGATGGAGAGAAAGTTGTACTTAAAAAACGAGAAGATAAGCTTATTAAGCATCTAAGGCCTCTGTATGCTAAAGCTCTTTTGGATGGGATACTAGTGGAAAAGGTGTTGGTAGACAATGGAGCTATTGTCAACATTCTTCCGTCTAGGACATTAAAGGCTATTGGTAAGTCTGTCGATGACTTACTTCCTACTGAGGTAAATATAAGAAATTTTTCTGGTGGATCATCTGAGGCTAGAGGAGTAGTAGCTTTACAGGTTCAAGTTGGTTCCAGATTAATGGGAACAACTTTCTTTGTAATAGACTCCACTTCTAATTACAATGTGCTTCTGGGTAAGGATTGGATTCACCTTAATGGGTGTGTGCCTTCATCTCTACACCAAGCATTAATTTTTCTAACTGGTGGTGGCCAGAATAAAAAAGGAATGGAAATCTTCTGGGCTAATGCAAATCCTTTTGTTACCGATGTCAACAACATAGAGGTTGTGCTGTATGATGAGGATTTGGGCCCCAATTGTGATTGATAAAGAAGAAGTCAAATCACAAAGAAAAGGCTTAACAACTGAAGGTTCAAGGCCTTCGTTGAGGAAGGTTTTAAGAAGATAGGCCAGGAATTGGCCAAACCAAGCCTGATGCAGAAGCAAAAGAGGCCTGTGATAGAGGAAATAGCTGAAGATAAGGAGTGATGCAAGTACAAGTAACAGAAGAAGACAAGCTGGAAGAGACAGCTGATGTAATAAGATCTACTTTTTCTAGGCCTTTTTATTTCTTTTTAGAAAGTAAGTTTAGCCTTAAGTGTTTGCCTAATTATTCTTGGGCAGAATGTGTAATCGACAGTAGCCCTCTGAGTTATAAAGAGGTGCAACTGGAACATCTGAAGGTAGCTCCTGCCAAACTTGATGATCTCATGGCAGATGTGTAGAACCCTTTAGAGGAATATAACTTGGGAAGTAAGGCCTGTAAAAGACCCATTTATGTAAATGCTAATCCATCTAATGAATGTAAGAGCAAACTAGTTAGTTTGCTTTCAGAGTATGTGGATTGCTTTGCATGGACGTATGAAGAAATGCCTGGATTAGATAGAACATTGGTGGAGCATAGACTCCCAATTAAAGAAAACTTTATTCCTCATAAACAACCCCCGAGAAGGATGACTAATGAAGTCATCTTATTGGTCAAGGAAGAGATCGAAAGGTTGCTCAATGCAGGTTTTATTAGGACAGCCAAGTATGTTGAATGGCCGTCTAATATTGTTCCTGTAATGAAGAAAAATGGTAAGTTAAGAGTGTGTATAGATTTTAGAAATTTGAATCCAGCAACTCCTAAGGATGAATATCCTATGCCAGTGGCTGATCTGTTAGTTGATTCAGCAGCCAAGAGTAAGATTTTGTCCTTTATGGATGGACATGTTGGGTATAATCAGATCTTTATTAACCCAGAGGATACACATAAGACAACATTTAGATGTCTTGGTGCCTTGGGGACATTTGAATAGGTAGTCATGCCTTCTGAATTAAAGAATGCAGGAGCAACTTATCAAAGGGCAATGAACTTCATTTTCCATGATTTGATTGGAAATACTTAGAAGTTTATATAGATGATGTAGCCATCAAATCTAACAGTTTTGATGAGCATATAGAACATTTGTAGCAGACATTTCAAAGAATGAGGAAATACAAACTCAAAATGAACCCTTTAAAGTGTGCTTTTGGGGTATTTGCTGGAAATTTCTTAGGCTTTTTAGTACATCATATAGGAATAGAAGTGGATGCTAATAAAGCCAAAGCCATTCTGCGGGCAAGAGCTCCAGCCAACAAGAAAGAGTTGCAAAGTTTTCTTGGAAAAGTAAATTTTTTGAAGAGATTCATAGCTGATTTGGCTAAGAAGACTTTAGCATTCTCTCCTTTAGTGAAAATTAAGTTAGACCATGAGTTTAAATGGGAAGTGTGCCATCAAGAAGCTTTTGACTTGCTCAAAAAATACCTGACAAACCCTTCAGTGCTTATGCCACCAGTGGCAGGAAAGCCTTTGAAATTGTATATATCAGTTTCTGACCTGTCGATTGGTTGTTTATTAGCTCAAGAAAATGATATGGGTCATGAACAAGCTATTTACTATCTAAGTAGAAGGCTAAATGATGCTGAAACTAGATATAATTCTATTGAGAAATTGTGTTTAGCAATTTACTTTGCAGCTATTAAATTGAGACATTATTTGCTACCAACAGAAGTGTTTGTGATAGCATAAACAGATGTTATTAATTATATGTTGTCTAAACCAATTTTAAGGGGGAGACAGGGTAAATGGATATTAGTATTAATTGAGTATTGTCTCAAGTATGTGCCACAAAAAGCAGTCAAGGGGCAAGTTTTGGCTGATTTCTTGATGGAACACCCTGGCACTTCTGTCGATCTAGACCTATATGACGTCAATTTGGTGGAAAGTGAACCATGGAAGTTGATGTTTGATGGTTCAAAAACAGATGAAGGAGTTGGAGCTAGTATTGTGTTGATTGCACCAAATAAGCAAATGTATCAATTTGCATATCAGTTGGAAGTACAACATGTACAGTCATGTAATCAAGCTGAATATGAAGCTTTGATAATTGGCTTAGAGTTGGCCATAGAATTTAGGATTAGAAGCCTCCAGGTTTTTGGAGATTCCCAGTTAGTCATTAAACAAGTTTTGGGAGAGTTCAAATGTGTTAGTGGTGCTCTGGAAGAGTATTTAATTGAGGTCAAATGGTTAATTAGTTTCTTTGACCATGTCACATTCACACATAGGTTTAGACTGGAGAATAAGGAGGCTAATGAGATGGCTCAAGTAGTTTCTGGGCTAAAAATACCTAAAGGAGCTCAGGAAAGGGTAATTCGAATTCAGAAAAGAAACTTTTCTGCACTTAAAAATAGGTGTAGGAATTTCCTACCTTTTCTCACTTTGGATATGACAGAAGAAGATTGGAGATTCTCTTTAATAAAGTACCTATCGAATCCCAATGAAAAAAGCAGTAGGCAGGTGAGGTTTCAAACCTTAAACTATGTTGTCATGGGAGATGATTTGTTTAGAAAAGCTCATGATGGTTTGACTCTACTTTGTATTGGTAAATTAGACCAAATGAAAGTTATGGCTGAAACACATGAACGAATTTGTGGGGCCCATCAAGCTGGTAATAAAATGAGATGGCTGATTAACAGGTACGGATATTTTTGGCCATCTATTAGAAAAGACTGCATAATGTATGCAAAATGATGTCAGAGTTGCCAAAAGCATGGCAATATTCAAAGAGTACCAGCTATCAGCCTACATTCAGTGGTTAAACCTTGGCCTTTTAGAGGATGGGCAATGGATTTAATTGGGTAAATTTTCCTATCATCTTCTAAAGCACATTCTTACTTATTGGTAGCCACTGACTATTTTACTAAATGGGTAGAGGCAATACCTTTAAAAGTGGTGACACATGTCCAAGTTATTGAATTCTTGAAAAAGAATTTGATACATAGGTTTGGCTTACCCTAATATATCACTATCGATCAAGGTACAGTGTTCAATGGGGATGAGATTAAAGAGTTTGCTAAAGAATACGACATTTAGATATTAAACTCTTCACCATATTATGCCCAGGAAAATGGACAAGCTGAGGCAACAAACAAGATTGTCAAGAATACTTTAGAGAAAATGATTGAAGACAATCCTACAGATTGGCATAATCTTTTGTCAGAAGTGCTCTGGGCTTGTAGAAATTCCAAAAGGAATAATACAAGTACAACTCCATATGAGTTAGTTTATGGGCATGATGTTGTATTACCTTTGAAAGTGACAGTGAGATCCAATCGACTGGCCAAGCATTTGGATATTTCTATGGATGAATATTCAGAGGCACTATCGATTGAGTTGCAAGATTTAGAAGGAAAAAGAATTGTGGCTTTTAATCATTTGGTGGCTCAGAAAAAAGAAAGTTGAGAGAATTTATAATAAGAAAGTTAAGAGGAAGTTATTTTCTGAAGGAGAATTAGTATGGAAAACCATTTTACCAGTTGTATTTAAAAGCCCAGAGTATGGTAAATAGTCTCCGAATTGGGAACGACCATTTAAAATATATAAGGTTCTTAGAGGAGGAGCCTATCATCTTGCTTCTTTAGAAGGTGAGCCATATCGAAGAATTAATGGCAAGTATTTAAAGAAGTATTATCCAACCATGTGGGAACGCATGAGTTAAGAAAACAAAGATATGTGACAGAAGGAGTAATGCCAAAACAAATGTAATAAGTATTTTCATTAAACTTGTATCAAAAGTACAGAGGGACAAATAATGAAAATTCTGTTTACATTTGGCCTAATCCCTTTGGAAGCACATTGAGAGTCTGCTCCAAGCTTGAAGAGCAGTCTGATGCTTTAGTTTATTTTGCCTAAGATTGGTTTAGGCTTGCTTGAAAGCTAGTGAACCACTTTTTGCTTGAGCAAGAACGTTTGGAATTTGCTGAGATAGTTTGGCTTGCTCTTATTCGATGGCAGCTTTCTGGGCTCTCATATGGACCAGTTGAGTTTATAGTTGAGCTTCTTCTGCTGTAAGAGTGTTAAATTGAGCAGTAAGGGATTGTCATCTACCAGATGCTTCAGTTAGAGCATGCACTGCTTTCCTCATTTGCTCAGCTTGATTCTCAACAGTTTTTAGCTCAATCTGAAATTGATTGATAGCCATTAAATGCTGAGGAAGCTCTGAGATGAAGGTTTGAAAGATTTGCACTTGGTCTGGATCAAAAAGTTGAGGCATCAGTGGTGCAATGGCTCCCAAACAGTTAGTCAAAATTAAAGTTTGAGAGAGAGCCAAGGCATCCAGTGGTTGACCACGTAAATTAAAAAATTGTTCAAAAAGTTCTTGATCTTCATTGGATAGTTGCTTCAGTTTTTCTTCAACAGTCAAATTAGCAACAGTTTCTTGAACAGCAGAAATTCCCAAGAGTAAGTCTTGAATGGAAAAAGAGGAGATAACTGCAGGCTGTAGTTATAAAAAGTAAAGTTAACAAATGAAGAACAATGAACATGGAAAATGATATGAGAGATTATTACCTCTGAGATATGAGGTGAGGTAGAAATACCCAAGATCTCTCTTGAAAGACTTTGAGCTGGTGTAGTCTGCACCCCCATGTCAACAGTCAATGATGTTTGAAAACGCATCTCAGTCTTGCATAAAAGAATAAAAGGGGATTGTTTTTTAACCGTATACATTTAAGTATATGTATATAAATAAATAAATAAATAATAAGAACAAGGTGTATAGGGGAGAAAATGTTACCTGTGTTGGAAATTATTGAGAAATGGAAGTGATAATAATTGATTGAGGAAGTCTCATATCACTTGAGGTTGATTCGTCATCTAAAACCTCAGTGTCAGCTCTGTCAACTTCATTTAGAAGGTTGTCATTTGGCTCAAAAACATGCTCATGGACAGGAGAACCTCTGTCGATAGGAGATATGTGGCTGTCAGAATTAGTGGGTAAGTCAATTGGAGCTTCCCTGGCATGGTCTGAATTAGCTGGATCTTCTTGAGCATGTTCAGGGATTGTTGATTCTTTTGGAGAATAGGTCACACCAAGAAAAGTGATGACTTCATCAGTTCCATGTGGCACCCCTCTAAGAGGGAAGGCCATTAGGTCTCCTAAAGCCGCTTATTAGGGAATTTCAGACAAAATTTGAGCCAGTTCAAGAGCCAAGTTTCTTAAAATGGCTCTTCTTTGGTCAATTTGTTCTTTCTCAAGGGGGTTTGGTTGAGACTCTGGCAAATCAGTTTGGTTTTCAGGAGGAATAACTTATGCCTCAGCTAGTTCTTCATTCTCAGGAAGAGTCTCAAGAAGATGAGGAGGTAGGTTGGTATGAGTTTCAGGTATATTTTCATGAGAAAAAGAAGAGGTGGTCAAAGAGACAAGTCTTCTCTTTTTGTATGACTTAAGATATGTCTAAAAGAGAAAGAAGAAAATGTTAGACAAGCAAAATAGAATGTCATGTTTAAAATGGTAACAAAATTGACAGATTGAGTAAGATTCATACTATTATGGGACGAGAAGATGAACTACTGGAAGAAGAAAAAGAAGCTGGTGCAGCAGGAGCTTGTGAAGAAACTGGTTGTTCTTGCTTTCTTTTAGGTCTCCTTACAAGTGCTGCACCACTGGAAAAGGAAGAAGCTGGCGCAGCCGGAAATGATGGAGGAAGTGGCTCCTCTTGTCTTTTAGATCTCCTCTCATGTGTTGCATCACCTTCTGATGTTGGTTGAGAAATACCACCTTCTGGTTATGGTTGAGATGCAAAGAATTTTTGAAGTTCTTCTTCTCTAGTCTGAACCCTTCGCTCAGTCTCCACACCTGGGTTGTAAGGTGTGAAACCTTCAGCATTGGTGGTGTTTAAGGGATGACCCTTATGCTTTCTTTTCTGAATAGTGGAAGTAGGCATTTCTATAGCCAAAGGAATGGCTTTGACTAAGGACTCAATTGCATATATATAAAAAAGATATATGCTGTTATACACTTAATATATATATATATATATAAGAAATAAAAAGTAAGAAGGAGATAGTTGTTTACCAATGCTCATGGTCGCTCCTTTTTTGTTGCCAGGATGCACATTCCAGAGGCATATTTGAGTTTCTTTATTAAAGATTACTGCATTCATAAGAAGCCACCAGTCTCTAAATCTTGTAGAGAGAAAAGGTGTGGCTTTTCAGTAGTAGAAACTGAATTGATCAAATAGTTCTTGATTGTGAGCTAGAAGGGCTTCCACAACTATTTGATGTTTGAATTGAATTCTGGCTCCAACTTGCTCATGAATAATGGGATGAAAGTATGGACAAGGAACAGTTTGATAGAGGCCCATTTGCCTAGCCCATTGGCAGGGGTTATAACTTTCGAAATTGCAGTTAGAAATTCTGTTGGTTGAAAGGGACCCTCCTACTAAAATGTATCTTGGAGTAAGGATCTGAGCCTAGAAATGCTTTTGTTGTTGTCTCAATTCATCACCCAATACAGAAGGATCATCATGGACATAGGTGAGTCTAGATGAGGTATAGTGGAGTTGGTGAAAAGGGATAAAAAGCTGAGGATCTCTGTCGATAGGTAGTTCATAAAGAAAAGTGAACACCTTAGTGAAAGAATTAGAGGTGGCTAGTCTAAATGAAAGAAAAAATTCGACATGACTTTGGCATGTGGGGAGAAATGGAGTCTGAGCGGTAGGTCTGATTTCAGAAAATAAGCATACAACCATGCTTAAAGAAGCCAGAAAGGACCACCACTATTATGATCAATTTCTTCATCCACTAAAGAAAAAAGACCTCTGTATAAGGTGCCTAGTAAAAAGGAGGCAAGAGCCAATTCTATACCCTCCTGAATGCAAGTGGCTAATGCTAGGTATTCTTTAGTAATTTTCAAACCAGGAACACAAAGAAAGTGTTGGGAAAGCCATTGTAATAAAAAGCTGTTCTTTCTTCATCTGTGGGTTCAGTGCCAAATTTTTTGTACTTCTTTTGAAATTTCCCATAACAGAGAGTAGTGTCCAATTTGATAGGTGTTTTGGGGTTAAAATGGCACTGATATGTTGACCAGAACAAGGAAGGCCAGTCAAATGGACAACATCAAGAATAGTAGGTGACATCATACCACATTTTAGAATGAGGGAATTACATAATGAAGGCCAAAAACATGTAGCAGCACCAATGGCCCATTTGTCCATATCTAAAAAGAAAGTTGATAACCTGATGGCATCGTAAATACCTAAAGCTCTCCAGAGATCTATGTCGTATATCATCATTCATTGGCCCCATCGTTTCCAGTCCGGATTTGGTTTTTGCCATGTGTGTAGAGGATTAGGGCTGGAATCCCAATGTTTCCATAATAGCTCTGCTTTGTTGAAGAGTAATGTTTTAGTGTCTGCAATAGGATAGTACTGGGTAAGTTCATCAGGAATGGTTACATTGAAAGTAGGGCCCAGTTGTCCTTCTCCAAGGTTGCCATAGTGTGGTATAATGCAGCTGTTAAAGATGTTTTGACGCAGTAGCTGCTGAAAATCGATTGGAAAGCGTTGGACAGGTGATGACTCAGCTTGTTTCTTTCCTTTGTCCTGATCTCGTTCGGGCGCCATTAGAGAGTGTGAGCAGAAGGGTTTTTTGAAGTCAGAGGTTCGAAGGAGAAAATAGTAGAGAAAGATAGAGAATAGTGGAATGATGATTTAAATTCTAGCATTCAAATAGCTTGTAGTGGGCCCTTTTTTGAAACGGTTTAAAGTTTGGGCTTTATTTAATAGTTTGATCAGTTGGGCTTACTCAAAATTCTGGGTAATTATGTTGGACTAATTTTTAGCATTTGGGCCTTATTACAAATTACAGATAAACAGCCCAAATATTTAAATGTCCAAACTTTATTTCTTTTAAATAATCATTCAAGGCAAAAATTTCTCTTTGTCTTGAATAAGGGGGGCATTGTTGACACTAAAAAAATTGTATATTCTCTGTCAATTATATGTAACAAATACAGGGAATTGGTCCAGCAGATGCTAGGTTTAAAGACTACAAGTTTCCACAAGTTTACAAGTGAAGAGCGAATGAATATGAAGCCTAGAATACAGAGCAAGTGACAAAAAGGCAATAGTCAAAAAGACAGACGTGGCAGTTGCAGTTTTCCTGTCGATTCATCTAGTAATGAGGAAGAATGTGGCCAAACATGACCCAGGCGTCAAGCCATAAAGTTAGCATGCAAGGCATACAGGATACATGTCATGTTTCCTAGAAAGAGAAAAGCTACAACAGAAAAGCAGTTGCTGGCAGTTGTACAGATTATGGGCATTGAAATGGAGGTAGTTGGCTATATAATGGGACACGTGGCAGCAGAACAGCAGTGGAGTTTGAAGACCAGCAACATAAAAGCTGGGAATTCGAAGTTAGAAAGGTTTCAAACAAATTTATAACCCTTATAGCATTAGAAGTAACTTAACTTAGTTAGTTCTTACTTAGGAGTAATCTATCTGTAGTTCAGTTTCTGTAACTAAGAATTCCCTGTCAATTGTCATGTACAATGAACTGGAAGTTTAATTTTACTAATTAAATTCCAAGTTTGTTTGTTCAACAATTGATTTTCAGTTTATTCCTTCTTGTTTCTTCGCATTACAGCCTCCAAAGAAGTCCTTGAATCTGTCAAGGCATAGAACGTTCAGACCACAATTGCTTGATTTTTTGTTGTTTGTAAGAGTTTGGCTTCTCTATCAAATCAGCCCTATCAATTTGGCCCAGAACAGAATTTTTGCTAACAGGTTCATAAATTTTACAGACTCAATGAAATCAAAATTGCAACGAGAAATTTCAGTCAAGAGAACTTGATTGGAGAGGGAAGCTTTGGGACAGTTTACAAGGGAACATTTAGCAATGGAACGGTTGCAGCAATTAAAGTCTTTAAGATGGAACAACACAAAGCTTTCAAGAGCTTTCTTGCTGAGTGTGAAGCTCTACGAAATATTCGGCATAGAAACCTTATTAGAGTCATTAGTGTGTGCTCGAATAGTGATTTCAAGGCATTGGTGCTCCATTTCATGCCAAATGGAAGCTTGGAACAGTGGCTTCATGAGAGGAATAAGAGGCTTTGTATAAAGGAGAGGTTGGAGATAGTCCAAGATGTTGCATCTGCTATTGAGTATTTGCATCATGACTGTGAAAGCCCTGTAATGCATTGTGATTTGAAGCCAAGTAGTGTTTTTTTGAATGAAAGCATGTGTGCACATGTTGCAGATTTCAGACTGGCACAAATACTTGTTAACGCTGCAAATAAGGGTTCGGTGAGCAGCACTCTTGGCCTGAAAGGTTCCATTGGCTACATTCCTCCAGGTATGGTTCTCAGCTGGTAACTAAATTTAGTAATATTTAGCACCATGCCCATGTCAAATGGGGCTTACACTCTACTAGGATAAATGCACAACATCCTATGCATTTTTCTGTAAAAAATTTAAGTTTTTGTATTGGTTCACTTAGAAAATTAGGGGTAATGCTATTTGCAAGTACGGGATCCTCTATCCCTAAATTTTATTGTTTTTTTGTCCCAAAGCATTCACAATCATTGGATATCTCTCGAGATTCTCACATAATATAATATTTATGAGTGCTCTTTGGGAACAGAGAATTCTTGGCACTATTCACACTCCACTTTCAGACCAATACACTCTCTTTCTCTTTTTCTTTTTTTTATTAGGAAAAAAGTACAATAATGTCCCTTTTGGTTATCTAGTAAACATTTAATGAAGCATGTGATTTTCTTTTTACTCCTAATAAACCCAAAAATTGAGTGTATTCGTTCAAATGGAGAGTGTGAATAGCATGCTGCCCAAAATTAATTTTTGAGTTATGTTCACAATTCTTCTACCTTCTCCCCTCTTCTTTTTATTTTCTTTTTTTTTTATGTTTTATATTTTTTTTATTATTGCTAAAATTTATGCACAATTACACTTGGTTTGAAAATGAACTACATTGAATTTGAAATTGATGCAGAATATGGAATTGGTGAAGGGGTGTCTACTAAAGGGGATGTTTACAGTTTTGGCATACTAATGCTTGAGATTTTTACGAAGAAAAAGCCAACAGATGAGATGTTTACAGGGGAAATGGATCTGTAGAGATGGGTTTCAATGGAACTGCCAAATCAGGTAATGGACATCATGGACCGTGGATTGCTGGGAAACGAACTGCAATCAAAGTCTTTTGATTTGTGTCGTTGGAGTACTAGAAATTGGATTGATGTGCGCAAGAAAATCACCTAATACTCGACCTAGCATGAGAGAGGTGTCCATGATGATAAAAAAATTTAGAAGTACGCTCTTGAAGTAAGGCAACAGAAGCACAATGCATAATATTGTTCTGCCAATGAATTGTACTTCTTTTGTATATGCTTTTTTTGTTTTCATTTTGTAATATGAACTTGCTCTATAAAGTGTGAATCAATTTGGTAATCAAGACATCCATTTTCTTTGTTTTGGTAATAAAGTGTGAATTCGCAAATCACTTTCTAGTTTTATCCTTCACAATGTGGTTTGCTCACCTCTATTTTTCCTTCCAATGGTGCATCATTTAAATCAAACAAAATATGAGATACAGAAAAACCCGATGACGCAACATTCTTAGAAATATGTCATGCTTCTTAAATATAGAGATACTGTTGGAACAATCTTCTGTGTAAATAAAATAAACTGAAATTAAATCAAACAAAATAAAATAAATCTTACAGAATTTATTTCGTTGAACCGAATAAATAATTCAAGACCAAGTTGAGTGTGTGACACTCTGTCCTTAAGACAGATTTGCCCCGCTACGGTGCTTATGGTTGAGTGGCGTCTATCTTCCAGGATACAATGATCTTCACAAATTTGTAGAAGCACTTCAAACAAATTTGTTCGGTGAACTAAACCTGTGATCTATACTCTCTTTAAATTATTGTAAAACTAAATATGAAGAATAAATGCACTACAGGAAAAATTAGGCAGCAATGAGACAAAATAACAGACTGAATTTTTTCGACTCCTAAACTGCTGGAATCAGATTGTATTTATAGGCAAATTTCCAAAGCCCCGAACAGGTACCAAACCCCGAAGTCAACAGGTGCAAAAATATTCACAATTTGAATATATGAATTGACCGTTGGTCAGAACAAAATTTCAAACAAATGAAAAAAGTGAGCCGTTAGTGGAACAGATTCCTTCCACCTGTTTGGAAAATTTATTATTAAACTATTTGGTATATATATACTAAACAATTAGAATATATGTATATTAAAATATTTGAATAGTTTAATAAATAAAGGAAGAGGTACAAACTTTAAGAAACCACTTAGGAACCCAAAAATTTGAATTTAGAATTAAATTAAATTCCCACAATTACAAACTTTAGGAAACCACTTAGGAATCCAAAATTTGAATTTAGAATTAAATTAAATTCCCACAATAATTTTTATTGAAAAAATTCAAATGAATTTTATCTAAAAAATTAATGTTAGACTCGAAAAACGACGTCAACTTCCCATTCACTCATAAATGGTTTTGACGTTCTGTCTTCACCTCTTCGGACCCACCCCAAACAACATTTGGGGCCCACTCAAATTTGGGCTAAAAAATATGCCTATATTAAACCATTTTGCCAACAATTCCCCACATAAATGAAATTTGACGAAGAGAAAATGCAACAACATGATCTAAATACAGAGAGTATAGAAATTGGAAATATTCTACAAAGGATAGGTAGCTTTTGACTTTGAACCTTCCCTTGTGAGACACTATCAGATTTACTAGCTAACCAGTGAATATAATGTCTTGAACTGTTCAGCCGTTTGTGTAAACCAAGACAATAGAGTTCACACAGTATATTCCCTGACACAGTTTAGTTCTCACTATTGTGTTCATTTTGGCCCTGAACAACCTAGTCTTTCATGAGTGCTTTAGAGAATTGTAGCCCTTCACATATCTCATAGAACCGGCCCAGTTTACACTCACATAGGTGATTCTTATGAAGAGTATCCTTCCATACTCCATAAGGTTTACCTAGATATAAGAATCATTAAATTTTACTTAACCTCAAACGCTGCAGAAATCACTATTTCATCAAAGAAATGGGTAGGAGTTAGACTCCCCAGTGATCCTTCTGAGTCATTTACAACTCGGTTGTCCCTTTGAACCTAGATATTGGGATCTCCAGTCAACTAGGTTGGGTTGCCGTTGTGGTAACTCTTATTCAATAGGCTTAAGTTCCATTCCCCTCGATGAATTCTCAACTAACTCTCTTACTAACCCTTTGGTTAGTGGATCCGCGATGTTGTCTTTAGACTTAACATATTCTATGGAAATAATTCCATTAGAGAGTAGTTGTCTCACGGTGTTATGTCGACGACGAATGTGTCGTGACTTACCATTATACATATGACTCTGTGCTCGACCTATATCTGATTGACTATCGCAATGTATGCATATAGCAGGCACCGGTTTTGGCCATATTGGAATATCTTCAAAGAAGTGGCGAAGCCATTCTGTCTCTTCCACTGCTTTGTCTAAAGCTATGAATTCAGATTCCATAGTAGACCTAGCAATACAAGTTTGTTTGGAAGATTTCCAAGATACAGCCGCCTCACCAAGAGTAAAGACATACCCACTATTGAACTTTGAGTCTCTAGTATCCGATATCCAATTTGCATCACAGTATCCTTCAAGCACTGCTGGATATCTAGTATAATTCAGCCCAATATTACGAGTAAATCGGAGATACCTTAGAACCCTTATAATTGCTTTCCAGTGTTCTATTCCCGGATTACTCGTATATCTACTTAATTTACTTACTGCTTAAGCTATATCTGGGCAAGTGCAGTTCATCAAGTACATTAAGCTTCCAATAATTTGGGCATACTCTAATTGAGAAATACTTTCCTGTACATTCTTAGAAAGATGTAAATTAACATCTACAGGTGTTCTAGCAAGATAATCATCATCTTTGTTGAATTTGTCAAGTATTTTTTCAATGTAATGAGATTGTGACAAAGCATATCCTTCTGATGTTTTGGTAATTTTCATACCAAGAATTACATCAGCAATGCCCATGTCTTTCATGTCAAAATGTTTATTCAACATTTTCTTGGTAGTTTTAATCATGTCATTATTACTACCTATGATGAGCATATCATCTACATAAAGACATACAATGATATAACATTTGTCTGTGTTTTTAATATAAACACATTTGTCACACTCATTAATTTTAAATCCATTTGATAGCATTGCCTTGTCAAATTTCTCATGCCATTGCTTTGGCACTTGTTTTAAACTATATAACGATTTAACCAATTTACAAACTTTCTTATCTTTCCCTGGAACAGAAAACCCTTCTGGTTGTTCCATGTAAATTTCTTCCTCTAACTCACCATTTAAGAAAGCGGTTTTCACATCCATTTGATGAATTTCTAGATTGTATAGAGATGCAATGGCAATTAGCATTCTAATGGATGTTATTCTAGTAACCGATGAGTATGTGTCAAAGTAATCAAGACCTTTTTGTCTAAATCCTTTGACCACAAGTCTTGCCTTGTATTTGTCAATTGATCCATCTGCTTGCAATTTTCTTTTGAAAATCCACTTGTACCCAAGAGGTTTACATCCTGATGGCAAATCTACCAATTCCCAAGTGTGATTTTGCAAGATGGATTCAACTTCACTGTTGACAGCTTCTTTCCATAAAGGAGCTTCAGAACTGGACATAGCCTCTTTAAAAGTTAAAAGCCCATTTTCTAACAAAAATGTTAGAAAATCTGGACCAAAAGATTTTGAGGTTCTAGCACGTTTACTACGCCTAGGTTCCTCTTCCTCATTTTGATCTAACTCTTGTTCTTGATCATGTTCTTGATCATTACTAGTAATAGCATCAAAAGATCTTTTCTTATTATTAGTCTCTTGTCTTGTCTTATTGGAAATACATGTTCAAAGAATGATGCATTCCGGGACTCAATAATAGTATTTACATGCATTTCGGTATGTTTGATTTATGAATCAAAAACCGATATGCACTAACTATTCTTGGCATAACCAATGAAAATGCAATCAATGGTCTTAGGACCTATCTTAGTCTTTTTAGGACTAGGAATAGCCATTTAGCCAAACATCCCCACACTTTTAAGTATTTGTAGGATGGTACTCTACCATGCCACATTTCATAAGGTGTTTGATTCACTTTCTTTCGGGGTACTTTATTAAGTATATAATTAGCAGAAGTATTGCTTCCCCCACCAAGTTCTGAGGTAATCAGAACCTTATTAACATGGCGTTCATTATTTCTTTTAAAGTCCTATTTTTCCTTTCAGCAATTCCATTTTGCTGAGGTGAGTAAGGAGCGGTGGTTTGATGAATTATTCCATGTTCTTTACAAAACTCACCAAAAGGTGATTCATATTCACCACCTCTATCACTTCTAAGTTTCTTGATTTTCTTACCAAGTTGATTTTCAACTTCATTCTTATATTGAATGACAGTTTCTAAAACTTCATCCTTTGTTTGAATTAAATAAACATAACTATATCTTGTATAGTCATCTATAAAAGTGATAAAATATGTTTTCCCACCTCTAGTTTGAATTGATTTAAAATCACAAATATCACTATGAATTAATTCAAGTGGTTCTGTACTTCTTTCAATTGAATGAAAATGAGTTTTTGATAATTTTACCTCAACACAAATTTCACATTTATGATTTAAATCAATTGCAAATTTAGGTAAATATTTCATATTAATTAATCTACGCAAAGATCCATAATTAACATGTCCTAGTCTACCATGCCATAAATTTGAAGACTCAAGCAAGTAAGAAGAAAATGTATTATTATTAATAACTGAGGGTGCAACGGTCATTACATTTAACCTGAAAAGGCCATCAGACATGTAACATTTTCCTAAATACATCCCATTCTTAGTAAGTACAAATTTATTACTCTCAAATACTAGCATAAACCCATTCTTACTCAACAAAGATCCGGAAACAAGGTTCTTGCGAATGTCCGGTACATGCAGCACATTGTTGAGAGTGAGTTCCTTTCCTGATGTCATCTTGAGTACAATCTTTCCTTGTCCTTCAACTTTGGAAGTTGAGGAGT